TACCACTACCACCAGAGCTGATCAACTGCCCTTCTTTGAAATCCTTCCTATAACATCTAACAAGAGACAATATTGTTCTCCTCTAAGGGCCTGTGGTTCTTGTCCTAGTCCTTTTCTATCCGCCTTTAGTGTTACTGATTCATTTATTCACATGCTATGTTTTTCTCTGATTTGCTAGTAAACTCCTGGATATGATCATATCTTATTTCAGTATTGAAATTAATGGTACTTATTCAGTTTACTTGTATTGGAGAAATAAATGAGTGAAAGCAGGAAGTATACAGTTCTTTTGTCACCTGCTTTTCAAAAGCAAGTTTTGAACTTCTTATTGATGTGAAATTCAGAAATGCTTGTAAATACTTTGATATTCCTAAATATTACATAATAAACTAACATTTGTAAAGCCATAGTATAACAGAAATCAGGCCTCAAAGGATTAAAACTATTAAAGGATGTCTTGGATCCACAGAATAATTTGACAAATGGTGTTGGAAACATAGATTGGATACAGAGTAATATGGTCTAGTTTTATCCTCTCAGAAGGTTGTTTTGACTTAATCATCTGCTCATAATGTATAGAAGAATGCTGTTTTCACCAATCTTTAAGGGAAAATATTTTTTACTTTTCTATGTTTTTACCTGTGTTGAGCATGAAAAACACAAGTCTGGCATATGACATTTCCTAAAAATTTTGTGTGTTTACACATGGCATAACATTACAGTACATTGCTGCTAATATAAATGCCAACAGCTCTTATATTTTCCAGTTTTATACCTTTTTATTGGAAAGGACTCATGTAGCCATCAAAGCTGATCTCTTTCCAAGCATGTCGATGCCTAACCATCCCAGAAATACATGTGCTGTTATAAAATCCTCCAAGAGGCAATTACACAGCATAGGAATTCATTCCAGCTTCTCCTAATCCTAAAGTCAGTAATGTCATTCAAGCCTCTAAACTACATTCTTCTAACTAAGAGTAAAACTCATTTTCAAATCCTGTAACTTTTTGCAATTAAGGCCAAATACTCCCTTTATGTACCATGAAGGAAAAGGACCCAATGGGGCCACACTGATGGCTTCTATGACTCTGCTGAGCTGGACCTCTTACAGAACTCTGACCGTCTTGTACTCTTTCCCACAGTGGCCATCTTCTGCCAGTCCAACTGTGAAATTCCCTAGGTCTCAGCCCCAGGCTCTCTGCCCTTTTCTGTCAGTGGAACCTCTCAGAGAGCCTGTCCTCTAGTGTGGGGTACAATAAACCACTCAGGACTCAGAGTCACATGCTTTAAGTCTCAGTTCCAACTCTGCTCTTACCAGTGGTAGGACCCTGGACCTACTATGTGATTTATCTGGGCATTAATTTATCTGTGTACGTACAACTAAGATTAGAGAATAACTTAGGTTTCTTCAAGCATTAAGCATCCAGGACACTACAATTCTACCAATTCTAAGATGGTAATTTTCAAATACTGTCTATTTCTCTAGCTATAAGTGAATGAATAAGTAGTTGGATAAGTCTGAGAGGTTGGCAGAGCACCAGCTATTTATTTAGCAGCTATTAGGCATGAGGCACCATGATTGGCTTTGGGGATGCATTGGTCAGTAAAAGAGGCATGGTCCCTGCCTTTGTGAAGTTTGTAGCCTACTAGACAGTAAATGTTGTTAGCGTGATAATAAACAAAAAGCAAGAAAATACAAATATACTTTCAGATGCTGCTAAGTACTATGAAATGAGAGACAGAGAGAGAGAGAGAGGAAGAGGATATACTGTGAGAAAATTGCAGGGGCAAGCCCTCTCTGAAGAGGCAGTATGTTTTTTTTTTCTTTAGTGAAAGCAAGATTTATTCAGCAACTATAGAAAGTCTACTTCACAGACAGAGCAAAGGTTAGTTCTCCCTGCAGAAGAGAACCAAAGAGGCAGTATTTCAAGCCAAGATTTGAATGGGATAGGAAGGAACCTGATATTCGAAGGGCAGAAGACCATTTTAGGTAAAAAGAATGACGTGCAGAGGTCCTAAAGCAAGGAAGTTCTTGCTGTATTGAAGGAAGAAAATGAAAGGGGCTGGTGGATCTGCCCCAGTGGGGCTGAGGGAAAGAAGCATAAAATTAGCATCTCTCTCCTCATCATTTTCACCTGAACTCAAAGTGGGACTTAAATCCCAAACTTGTCTTCCCATTAGAATCCCCTTGGTGAGTGTCTAAAAAATTCTAAAGCTCAAGCTACTCCCTAAACTAGTCAAATCATAAAGTCCAAGGATGGAACAGAGGCATCAAAATATTTTGAAGCTTCCAAATGATTCCAAAGTGCAGTTTGGGAACCACTGATGCAAATTAATTTTAGTGCTTAAGTTATTGTTTTGCTCATCTATAAGATGATAAGGTTCAACATAATGAGGTCAGGTATTTTTCTTGCTCTAAATTAGGTGATCTGTATATGCAGTTCCAGGGTCATTTCCACCCATCCCTTTCCTCAAATCTTCTTTGCCTTCTTTACTTTTATCCTAATACTCCCCATATTCTTCCATCCAGGCTTGAATTCCTAGAATCTCAGACTCTTCACATTGCTTCTAAAAATCAAGAAGGTTCTGTTCATCCAAAGCATCTAGGCCCCTCCATGAAGCCCTCTTCCCTTCTTATCTGGTAACCACACAGTTCAGTTCTCACCTTCCAACCTACCCTGACAATGATCTTTCTGAGCTCAATTTGTACTGCCTATCCAAACCACATCCACCCTTCAAAGCCCTTCTCAAGTGCTACCTCCTCCAGGAAGCCTTCTAAAGAAGCTCAAGTGTCTGTGACAACAAATCTGTGAAGTTTTATAGTCCTCATAATCCATATGATACAATTTAGAACTGAATTATATACAGGTATATATTATACATTGGTCTTATCTCCCCAAAAGAATGTTAAATAAATGAATAAAACACACATTTTATTAATTCCTGGCATATAGTAAGCACTCAAACATTATCTAATAGTAACAATGGTAGCGTCATTGTTAGAGGTGGTAGAAGTGGCAATGATACTGCAGTGGTAAGAGCAGTGACAATAGTACTCGTGGTACTAGCAGGGTAATGATAACAATGCAATGCAAAAGCCCCATGTTAGCCAGGTACTTCATATACATCGTCTCACTTAAACATTAAAACAATCCTACAAAATAGGTTTTAATCTCCCCACTTCACAAATAAAAAGTTGGGGCTTGGGGACATTTAAAGAACTTACAAAGGGTGGATGGCAAATCTGTTTGATCCTGAATTTCTTTAACCATTACTATATGTTAACCTCCTTATAAGCCTTCCAATGGATGGAACAGTCTTTGGAATCCTTTTACATCTACCATACACACAGATTTATTGATCAATTGATTCATATGAATAGTTGCATGCAATGGAGAATTGCCAGTAAGGAAGCCAGACAATGGGTTGTTCAGTTTTGCAGACCAAGTAGCATCCCCCAACATTGGCACATAAGCAACAGATGTATATTAAGACCTACTCTGTCCATTTATAAACAGGATCCTTTCCCCTGAAAGTCATCTGATATAGTAAGTGCACCAGTAGATGCCCCTTTCTTCACCAACAATGAGGGGAGGACTTACTCTGGGTGCGAAATCACCTGTTGCCAGCCTTGGATGATGCTTGAAGCAACAAATGCTGATTGTGACTGAATGGGTCACTTGATTTAGAAGTTTATCCAGAAAATTCTTGAGCCATTCGAAGTCAATTGAACATTTTATGTGCAGAAATCTTAATGTACCCACTTCAACATTTTCTCTGTCCCTGGCCTTAATTTTTCAAAAGCTAACATTTGACTTCAGCTGCCAATAAAGGAATAAGTATGTCAATAATTCAATAATAAAACTTCTGATCAGGCATCTATTGGCAATCCTGTTAAAGAATAAAACTGCTATCGCAACAGAGATAATTATAAGTATCCTAGAGAGGATCAACCTTTTTGAAGAAATAGCACAATGTAGAAATGCAGATAAAAATGACTAGGAGAGTGAATAGAAAATACTTAATTTATGTCTAGGTACTAACCAAAAGTAAAACTGAAAAACATATTTTAATTAAAATCCTTTGTTGCTCAAAAGGTGATTTTTTAAAAAAATTGTTTATTTTAGGATAATTTTCTGTTATCATGTGAACAGAAAGAAACATGGAAGAGATTATCCAAAACAGCTGAAGATCTAGAAGTTGCTCCTATTTATTTCAGAAATATATTATTTGTTTTTTGTGTGTTTCAATTCCCTTCCTAACTAAGTATGATTTAAGCTAATATTATAATTAGTTTGACTTTCCTTAGCCTTCATCAAGTACTAGGAGGAAATTAATCTACAAATGTGCTAGAGGAAGTGAATATGAAAAAAAATTACCATAATTTATTCACCTTGAATGAGGAAAAATAGCAGACCAGGTACCTCCTCTACTATTCCAAACCTCTCAAAATAGAAAAAAAGAAAAGATTGACTGCATGTCACCGTATTTATAAATAGCCAAGTGGCCAGTGTTTCGTGTTGGCAGCCAAAAGCCAATCATCCTAGAACAAGGTTTGCAACTGAAAATTTTTTCATTCCCTCCATTTCCTTTTGCCTTAAGGGAGATTTGAACTGAGTGGCTAACTGGAAATTTTTACAATGGCACTTAAACACATGTGTGAAAACTTGAAACAAGTATTAGGAAAGGCAGAGTTACAAATTTTTATTATTATTATTATTATTATTTTTACTGAATATAACTGTGGCTTGCAAAACAATTATATCAAAAACCTTTCTTTCCCAACTTCTAAGAAAATTAAGCTTATAATAAGAATATAATTCAAGGTATTGACCTCTTAGTCAACTAAATGGCCCCAATAGTGTGGTGTTGAAAAGAACATATATATATGTGTGTGTGTGTGTGTGTGTGTGTGTGTGTGATACATTATATATAAGGCTCACATACGATGCAATTCTTTATACTGGAAAAAAATACATATGACCAGATAGGATCCTTACCTTTTCAAGTATAGCATTGCCTTGGTGAGGACTGATGTTGTGCTGGCTTATTTCTCTCTTGTATTTATACTCATAAACTTGGTTAGTGATGTTAACCAGCAGAGTTGATGGACTGAAGGTCAGTTTGCCACAATCATAGACAGTTCCACTTTCAATATCAGTTGGTGCTGTAGCGTATCGTAAAATTAATCCCATTATGAGACCTAAAATAAAGAATAAATAATTGTACCAGAGGAAGGCCATCTAAAATGTTACTTACTGAATGCTTTAAATATATGATTTGGGAACTTTAGAAGTGGCAAGGGAAAGGGCTGGGCCATTGCCTGGTTTAGAAAATTGTTCACTCTTCCATAGATACCAGTCCAACAGAATGAATTTTAGTGGGCACTACTGCTTGAATACTCTGCATAAATCACCATTTTTTTTTCCTTCCTAAATGGACTCACAAATTTTGGAGAGAAGAGATATCTATTTCTCCTACCCACCAAAGTACTTCAAGAAAACCTTTGCTCTGTGATAGACACATTTATTAGTAATCTAATCAATCAGGAGACAGAATTCCTCTAGGAATGTTTCTGGTCCACAGATGGGCACAGATCTAAGTTAGCCCCTTCAGACAAAAAGGAAGCAATTATATTTCATGATTAGAGGGAGAGGTGTTCTTGTTCTCTCCCTCAAGACATGACCAATGCAATACATTCCTCCCAATTTTTGCTGGCAAGTGTCTTATGACCATGAGGAGATCCAGTCCAAAGATACAGTCAACATACTGAGGTTGGTAGGACCAGATACAGACAGAACCTGGGTCCTGAAGGACATCATTGAGCGACAGGGATCAACCGGCCTACACTGGAACTACCCTAATTATAGACTTCTCATTATATGACATAATACAGTATCTAATTTTTCAATAATTTTGAATCAAATTTCTGCTTACCTACAGCCAAATGTATTCTAGGAATACAGCATTTCTTTCCATGAAGAGATGGACCCTAAGGAACAATCCTTGACTTTCAGGTTCATCAACTCTGTTAGGATACTCATGGTAATCTGATAACTACTCTTTTAACATGGATTTATTAACAAGTATCAAAGGAACTTCAAAGGCCTAAATGCCTTCCATTTAAAATTAGGATTGATGTATATATTTAGGAATAAGTAATCCACAGTTCATTCTTTAAAACTTCAAATTTTGAAAGTTTTAACTCTCTTTTATGAAGCCAGTCATCTAATAACCTTTCGTTTATTTAATAAAACATTTGTTGGGTATACATTTTGTGCCAGATATTTATAGATTTGAAGTAAAAATATAGTCCCAGTCCTACAGGAGCTTGTTTGTATAAGTGAAGATTCATAAGCAAACAATTATAATACAACGTGACACATGCTGTGATAGCTGGGAAGCACTCTGTGTTACATGGGTATAGAAAGGAGACATTCCAAAGCCCTCTGAATTATGCAAAGTTTGAGATAAATCTTAAAAGATCCCATGGGATTTGTCCAGATGAGCTGAATCAGGGAACGAGTTGGGATCCAGGCCGCGTTTTGGTGGCAGCACGTGACAATAGAATCTGTGTTCTCCCCTTGTGTAGAATTGTTGGTGGGAAGTGACTGCTCAGCCAGGGACTGTGTTTCCTGGCTGTCTTGCATCTAGTCAGTTCTCACCAATGGAATATAAGCAGAAGTGGTGTGTGTCACTTCTGCCACAGCATTGAAGAAGTAGGTGAGTTTTTGTACTTCTCGTTTCCAATGTATCGGCCGGATGGGGAGGAATCAAAGGCCCTAATGGCAAACAGAGTCACAGAGCTGAAAGAGCCTGGGTCCCTGAGATGCTAGGTGGAGGAGAGTCACCCACCAACCAGGAATACCTGCACTGGACTGTTATGAGAGTGAAAAATTAACTTCTTTAAAATCACTGACATGTTGGTATTACTGTGTTAGCAATCACTAATGATAACTTAATTAATACAACGTATAAATACAGAAAGAGTTAAGAAATGTGGTACATTTAGGGAGTCACTGGTGGTATAATAAGAGAATAAGTGGAGAGAAAGAGAGAAAATTCTAGATTGTGACCATAGGCAAGGACCAGGTCATAAAGAGGCTTCTCTGTCATGCTAAGAAGTTTTTATTTTTAATCCAATGGTAATGTAGAACTATTGAAAGATTTTAGGCAGGAGAGTAAAGCAATGAAATTTTCATATAAGAACTATCACTTTGGCAACAATGTAGAAAACTAATTAGAGTGAGAGGTGAGAATAGAAATATATTTCTTTCAAGACTATCTTGCTTATTTCTGCTTTAGTGTTTGGCCCACCCTACCACAGTAGTTAGAAATATTGTATCCTAACCTTTATAGAAAGAGAAGATAAGTGATGGATATATAACCTTCACTGAGTGCTTGATCTGCCACAGAACAGTGGGCAACCATCCATGCATTGTCAAATGACTACAGTAAAACTAGTCAGGAAAAAGACGGGAAGATATATCATCTATGCTTCAAGTGGTTTAGGTCGCTTGCATAAGAACACCACTTTTTTCAACACTCTTTGCCTAGAAAGGATTCATTTCCTAAAAGTTATTTAGCAAGTGCCATGAACCATACTGTTCTTTCTACTGGCATGGAATGCAAAGAAGGGAGGCACAAGATACTAACTGCATGGGGCTGGAACAGAAATAACCCATGTTAATTTCGGTCAAAGTTCCCAGAGGGTGAGCTGCTTATTTTTGAAAAATGTTTTCAATGAAATAACAGGAAATAAACATGAAGAATTCACTGATACTTCCCAAGCAAAGAAAGCAACAAAGGCTCCATCATAATAGCGAGTGCCTAGTACCCAGTGTGGTTAAATTTATACAAGTTCTCCAAACCCAAATGGCCATGCCTGGTTCTGTGCACCAGCTCTGGTCCCAGTCTTTAAGAAGAAGCACACTGAAGTAAACGGAGGAAGCTGCTTCAGCCAGAGGTGACCAGATGTAACAGCCATGTAACACTGGCTTAGACAGATCTCCTCTTAGATAGATCTCCCTCTGTGAGGAGTGCAGTTGGCCAATGTTCTCAGCTTCTAGGCTCTGGAATTCATCACCCCATTCACACCGAGGCCACGCTTCCCATAAGTCTCTCCCAGCCAGTGACTGGGCTCATCAGGGATACTGAGGCAGGGAGATGGGGACTCCTCTGCAGGGCAACCATGGCTCATGGATACCCCAGAAGCCTTGTCAAACCTTTCTTAGAACTGTACCACAGCCTAAAGATTTCCTATCCAGCCTTCCTTCCTTCCCTGTCTCCACAGGGGTTGGGAATGCATCAAGCTGTGAGAGTTGTCCCAGTATCCTCAAGTTCACTCCCAGTTTTCTCTCAGAGGAATTTCCCCCAATACATCTTTTGTATAACTAATCTCTTTCCAGCATCTGCTTCTTGGAGGATCCAAATTAATACATTAGCCAAAAGGATCTGGCCCTACTTTTCCTTAAACCCCAAGGGTTGAGAGGAATCAATAGCTTGGCAGATTATAAGGACCAGTGGAAAAACTTTAGCCTCTCAGCACACCTGCTTAACAAACTCATGCACCCATAGCAGCAGCTGGGATTTTCTTATCTGTCAGAAGCCAGATACTTACCCATAGAGCTTCATAATGCTTTTTATAGCCAAATGTCTACTCAGTGTTTTAGCCATATGCTGACACAAATGTGGAGTGTTGAATTAACGCACACCAGCGCAATATTGTATGTGACGAGGGGACAGATAAAATAGCATTGCTAGTAGGAAGAAAATGGTAATGAGAGGGCATTGTTTTTACACCCACACCAAGATACAGGATAAAGAAAGCATAAATCACTTGTGCCACAGAAGGAGAAAAGAGAAGACTCTTTTCTGTGTTCATAAGCTGCCGTGGCTTATGAACACAAAAGCACCACTTTTGTCAACAAACCATGATGCAAACATCCTACTTGCTGTGGGGAAAAGGAGTCAACCTGCCCCAATAAAATGATACCCACCCAGCATATGTGCACACAACCTTGGCCCCAGGTTGTGGTCCCCCCACACAAGACACTTCTCTAACATCTGTCCCCTTGGCCTGTTGGTGGCATCAACTTCTCTAGGCAGAAATTCTAGTGCAGATACCTCCTCCGCTTCTTCAAGTCTGGGCACCTGGACACCTATGGTGACAGCAGTATGGACCTGCTGTCTAGTGAACCCTGACTACAACAACATACAAACCCCCCATGGAGCTTGGACAATAGACTTCCTCCCTAAAACACTCACTATCCTACAAAGTCCCTCTCAAGTCCCACCCATGGGAACCTGTGCTCTGATGGAGTCTGTGCTCATCGAGCTCCTGCACGTTTGTGTTCTTACAGCATCTATATTAATAGTTTGAATCACACACGTTAGGGACACGTTTTATAAAGACTTATATTGTTCAGCGCTGCTTTGCAGACGTTGGTTTTATCTCCCCAAGCAGACAATGAGACTATTTAGGGCAGAGACTCTGTGCTATTTTTCATCTCCTTCCCTCTAGAAAAGCCAAACATTTAGGCAGGATTGTATTTCAACTTTCTCTAAGTTCACAAAACTCCCCTGGAGTTAAAAAGAAAAGGATCCTCTGAGTTTATATAGTCAGTTGCCAACATTTTTAAGTGTCACATGTAGGGAACACCACACCAAATGCTATGATGTCCCTGTCCTTGCAGAGCTCTCGCTGTAACTGTCACACAGCACACGCCTGACGTGTTGGCAGCATGATGTCTGTGGAGGGAGTGAGGAAGGAGGAAACAGCCTCAGGAGCACTCAAACTAAGGAACATTTAGAAACATGAGCCTTGTCTTTCTAGACTGGTTCTCACTTCATTATCCACATTGAAAATAAGAGAAAACTCCATTCCCTTACTCTCTCACTTACTCATTCTGTGTTCACACCACAGACATCCAGGGCATTTCTCTGGGACTTGTGGGAGTTATAAAAAAAAAATGAATAAAATATGGTCTTGCCCCTAAAAGTTTAAAATATCTTAACCTACTAGCTCTTTTCCTTCTACCCAATTCTGTGATCCTAATTTCCAGTAAGAACAAGGTACATTAAGTGTCTCCTAAGTCTCCTTCTTATATTGTCTGCATTTCATGGCCCATGCCCCTGGCATCCTTGCATCCTATCCACAGTCACTCTACATGATGCTCGATGAGCATTTTCCCAAAGTGGCTT